GTTTGGGGTGAAATATACTGATGGTGGCAGTGATGATTTTGTTAATAATTTGGAATTCATAAATCAATTAGATTTCTGGAAGGACAAGTAGATATTTATGGATATACAATAAAAAATTATTTGTAAAAAGCAAATACAGAAAAACATTAAAAATTACAGAATCTAGTTGGCCTCTTTGTTGGAACTCATTGTATAATTCTTTCAGCTTCTCTGTATGTAAAAATTTCCACTATAAAATGTTGACAAATATCGACATTGCAATCAAAATTTAATCAGATTAAATATAAAGAATTTTCCTTTTATATATTAATATTTTAACCTACTACAATGTCATATGTGATTATTTTTTATGGGACAAGAGTTAAAGAATGACATATTTTTAAAAGATTAAAAGTACATACCCGAATCTCCTGAAGGTTGTGAAAATTATTTCCAACTCTCACTGAGATTTTGCTTGGGGTATAGCTTTCATCGGATTTATAGTCTGCATAAATGCATAATGTCTTCACTGTTGTTTTCCTCCTAAAAGTGAAGAAATTAAAAACATGACAATTTTATCACATATTATTTCTAATGTATCTTTTCTTCTGATTTTCAACATCATAGCTAAAATGAATATGTGAAGCAACAATTTTTGTTTCCTTTCATTTCAGAACTAATCAGAATAAAGAATACCTATAAATACCACAAAAACTCACTGCTGTCAAATTTATTTCAACTACTGGCTACCTATCCTCCACTAGGTTCTCTTTCACTGCATTCAGACCTGACTCAGCGGACCCACCAGAGGCGGTAGATCACACAGGAGATTGCTCATCTTTCTCCTGTACAGCAGCTAGTAGATTCTAACTACTTGTCTTTGGGTTGGCAGAACAATTTCTTATCTACTGGGCCATCCAAGTTCCCTTCCACTAGACAAATGAGGTTATAAATATCTAGGAATGAGAAGGTCTTATTTTCGCTCTACAGAATGGCTAGTTAATTTGAACCACTAACCTTTGGGTTAACAGATGAATATGTAGCACTCTACATCATAAACGTTTCATTGTAAAGAACACAGGTATAGATATTTTACTTGTCTGAGGTTTTGTCTGACATACTTTGGACATTTTGCAAGGAGCGACTGGTCCTTGGAGAGGGACGTCATGCTTGGGAGGGTGGAGGGACGGCGCAGGAGGGGAAGACCCTCTATGAGGTGGACTGATTCAGTGACTGGGGTAATTGGGATGGGTGTGTCAGAGGCAGTGCAATTGGCACAGGATAGAGCGGGGTTTAGGGCTGTTGTATATAGGGTCGCTATGAGTCGCAAGCTACTTAATGGCCCATAACAACAACAACATCTCTTATCTAGAAAATAACCAAAAATGGGAAGTGAATTAAAAAAAAATAGTCCAGACATAATAGGTGCCTTAGAGTACAAACTTAAAGCTTTCAGTTTATTTTATTTCAGACAAAGAAAATGTTGTTAAAAGTTTGCTTTCTTTGTTGTTGTTGTTAGGTGCTGTCGAGGTGAGTACAATCCACAGTGATCCTATGAACAGATCTGAACCCTGTTCTATCCTGTGCCACCCTCACACCTCCTGACATACTAGAGCCCTCTGCAGCAGTCACTGTGTCAATCCACCTGGTCAAGAGTCTGCCTCTTTTTCACCAACCCTCCACGTTCCCAAGCATCATGTCCCTCTCCATTGATTTCTTTACTAATTAATTCCCTACATTAACACTTGAAAATTACTAGCTAATGTCCTAGTCTTTTCAATTACTTTCTATGCATCTAAAAATTAGACAATGAAAAAGGATTTGATGCCTTGAGTTGTGGTTTTCGAGAAGAGTACTGACTGACTATGCACTGACAGCTAAATAAACAAGGCTGTGAAGAAGGGCAGCCAGGGTGCTCTGTAGAGGCAAGGATGGTGAAATTTCAGCTTGCATACTTTGGACATGTTCTCAGGGAGGTGGGCAGGCGCTGGAAAAGGCATCATGCTGAGAAAGGTGGAGGGTGGGTGGAAGAGAAGACCTTTAAGGAGATGGATTGAAGTAGTGAGGGTAACAAATGGGCTTGAGCATATCAGAGGTCATGAGCATGGTTCAGGATAGGACAAGGTTCAGATCTGCTGTTCATAGGACCGTTATGAGTTGTAGTCTACTTGAATGCATTTAACAACAATAAAAATCCTGGGGCCTCAGGAACATAGTGCCTGGGAAGAAAAGTCAAATGGCACATCAGAATGCACAAAGACAATATACTGTGTCCTATTTTTGGTGAGCAGTAACGAGGATCTTAAAAGCTTTCAAGCAGCCACCTAAGATGAAATCATTGGTCGTTCCTGTCCAGAAGCAAAAAAGAGAGAAGAAAAGCAAAGATGTATAAAATCATTTAGTCCAAAGGTCTAATAGATTATATAAACCTAAACCTTCCTGACTCTGAGAGTAGAAGAACTAAGTAGTTTGTGCCCAGCTACCACTGCTAATCCTCTAGGGATCAAAGTAGAAGGCCCTGTTTAGAATAGGAAAAAAATGTGGAACCAGGTCTCTTCTCCGTATTTCAAGGAGGAAGGTCAGTCCCTTTGGGATGTAACTTTTTAATGAATTGAACTCTTACTATTTTACCTTAAAAAAAATTTAGAACAAAACTCAAAGTGATAAAAATGGCTGGGAAGCTGATCTGATAGAAATTAGTGAATCTCCAAGACTACAATCAGCCTTCAACTCTGGAACTAAATACACTTCTGTCGGCCAATGTTCAGTCAAGTAGATAGGTCTATAAAGTGAACAATAACATCAGAGAAGTACTCATACTATATAAGATCAAAAGGGGAGTGTTTGTCCAGAGATAAAGCTCAAAAGGCTGGAAGGGGTAGAAGGATTAATGGAAAAGTAAAAATAGGAATGAAGTAGGAAGAATATTGGTTAAAAAAGTAGACACTGTAATTTATTGTCTTAAGACAAAATACACATACATTTTTGCATATGAAATGTATACATGTTTCCTACAACCAGAAGATAAAATAGATGAATGGGACCTTCTAAGAATCAAACCCTATGCACATCCAAAAACTTCTCCAACAGGGTAAAAAGGGAAGCCACAGACTGGGAAAAAGTATTTGGTAATGACATGTCAGATAAGGGACTTATATCCAGAAATTATAAAATACTTGAGCACCACAACAAGATAAAGGTAAATAA